TGAAGACGCTTTTGTTCGTCAGTGTCGCTCCTCTCAGCGTGGATTGCATGCAGATCTAATGACTCATTTGGAACAACTCCTGGCGTTTCCGTTTGCATTGGATCTGGCTGTAGAGGCACGTAAACCGCTTGTCGACACAAGCACAGTCCCAAAACCGTCCAACTCAACTGGTGATGCAAATGGGCAGCGTGCTCAGGCAACAACCGCTACCAATACCAACAATGCGGCAAACAATCATCCTATATCTGCGACAAATGGAGAGGTAGCGGGCAGTACCGCTGGACAGTCAAGCAAGGTGAGCAGCTTATCTGTGAATGTGATTTGACAATCAAAGGATGTTTACTTATCCAAATGACACTAAACAGTCTTTGGGGGGGGGGGGCAAAAGTTTGTAAATTACCTGAAATACAACTGATAAATATGATATCCTCATAGACAACGGTATTGCTTGTTGTTTTTGTTCCCCGGCTAGTATGACTTGATGATCAGTTGCTCACTGAGTCTTTCAGCTGGGGAATAAACTTTCCATCACCGTTCTAGGTGGCACTCAATACGATTACTACAAAACTATTGCGTATATAAGTGCCTATGAACCTCTTCCTTTAGTTTTTAAATCAACAATAGTTACTGCATTCTAATCATCATTCTCCTGTTTTATCCAAATGGGTAACCAAAACCGGCGTACAAAAGTGCACGGTTAATGGTTGTAAGAACTGAACTGAACTGCCTTCAGTGAGCAACATATCGGAGCATTGAGCTTAGTGTAAACTGTCTGGCAGCCAGCTATGATTTTCAGCCTCAATTGCATTCCAATCACCTCCCTTTTGAATGAAAAAATTCAAATTCTGTTCTGAAACCGTAAACTTATCTTTTGGACTATACTGGGTCGCGGGAATCCTTGAGAGACTCACGCTCCTCCGAGTATCCTCCCAACACGATTCCGATCAGAAGCCTCCTTGTTGTCCGCTATTTCATCGACATAGTGTAGATAAAGTTCAACTGCAGTTTTTCGGATTATCCCCGATTTAGTGAATCACATCTCCAAATCGCCCAAACTTTGATCTCATTATGCACATGCTGTATGCATCGATAGTTGTTCGCGGCTGTGAGAAACGACATGTAGCTCAATTTACGGTGGGAAAAATACATGTATGAACATTTACTAATCCGTCCCGGTTGCCAGATGAAGGCACGAGAAACAGTAAGTGTAACTGCTTCGGCCTAGGCAATCTGAAATTCCTCTACCCACGACCAAATCGTGGACCAATTGTTGTACCGTGATATGTTTTACAAACAAGTGTGAAACACAACGGTTTGATAAAATTGTTACTCACTGCGAGATTATATTCGAAGCGGAACCATTGATTCACCATCATGGACAAACTCGTGTGAAGTGTTGGCCTCTGACCGTTTTCCGAACTACTGACTATAGAAGTGCTACGTAACGAAAATGATGTCGACAACTGCAGCGGTGAGATAATGGATTTCAATTTGCATCGATCCTGTTTGGCCCAATCCTTCAAAGTGAAAACTGACCCTATCTGTGAGGAAAGCTATCACGCACCTCCTATCACCACGCTGGCGCTGGCGCTAAACAAACAGTCTCCTGATTGCGCTGCTAGCGGAAACACTGCATCTCTGCAACGTACCGGTGATGCAAGCTGATCGAGATCCCCTTCCGGGAGGTTTGCGACCGAGGACAAGTTTCAGTTTCAGTTTTTACGGCCATTAACTGTGCATTTTCATGCGCCGGTTTTGCTTGCTGTCTTTTGGCTGCCCACTTGGATAAAAGAGCAAAATGAAGATTGCAATGTTGTTACAGTGTCAGTTTTGATCAGTAGGAGCGGCAGTCTTCAATGAATCCTCGTCAGCGGTGGCTGATGGCGGTGGTCAATTTAATTCCGTCGACATAAAGAGTTTGCGATTTCCGTGTAAGGCGGTGTAGTTTCTTGAGTGAGAAGTTGATGCTTGATAGGAAATTTCCATACTCAGTGCAAAGTTGGATTAGGCGTTCTCCGTTGTCAGTCCGGTTAGCTGGGATCGCCTGGGAGCCTTTCTGATTCGTCCAGTGATCCTACTTGAACACTGAAGTCTCCAGCGACTACCATGATGTCCGTTGACCGAGCATTTTGGCGCAGTTAGGAGAGAGGTTCTTGTAGAATTCATCCTTCATTTCCGACGAACTGCAATCAGCGGATGCGTACACGGATATGACGAATGAGAATCAGTGCTTCGTCTGTAGGTGTTGACTCGTACTAAACCATGCAGACGCACAGCGCCCATTTGGATACAAAGGGCAGAATGAATATGGCAGTGTTGATAGCAGAGTCAAAGAGAGGATAGAGAATTCATATAGACTGGACAAATTCAGTCTCTGTTTGGTGTTCATGGACGTGAAGAAGAAAATCAATGATTATTTTTTTTGTTTAAGAAATATTTGTGCAAATGGATGTTTGGCAGATTTGATTTTTGTATGGCGATTGTAAAAATTTCAGTAGCCTCGGTGGGATTCGAATCCACGCATGGACGCTGCGTACGCTTTGTATGCGCACGCTCTACCAGCTGAGCTTCGAGACCACACCTATAGCACTGATCTTTCACATTCGAATTACCCATCCAACTTACAGAGGCATATGGCATCCACCAATTAGCATGCAAGCTGACTGCCCCGACAAGTTTTCCTTAGAATTCACCGGAGTTCACCGAATGAACATCTAAGACAAGGTTAATTGTGCAAATGGATGTGGCCTCGTAGTTCAGCTGGTAGAGCGTGCGCGTACAAATCGTAGGCGGCGTCCATGCGCGGGTTCGAATCCAACCGAGACCACTGAACTTTTCACAATCGCCATATAAGAAATATTTAACAAATCAACAGTATAACTAAGTTCAAGCATATAAGTATCTTTGTTTGCAAGGTTGTTGTGCAAACGGTTAAGAAAAAAAACAAGATTTACGTAAAATTAAATGTAATCGCTGGATGATAAAAGTTCACTTATGTTTAGGAAACCAAGCTTGTCCTCACAAACACGATGAAAACAAATTTTTCGGTTTTGCGCCATTTCGTGGTCACAGCACGATACAAGAAACAGATCTGATTAAGATGTCATCCAACTTTCCGCCTAAGGTTTCAAGGCTGAGGGTGCCAATTAGTATTTCCGATTTGTAGGCTATCAAAATGGCTACCATTGGTCATACTAGTCTATTGAGGNAGTCTATTGAGGAACGGATTTCAAGTTTGAAATGTCACACTTTTTGCATTGACTTTTAGATTGTCCAATCAGGTTACTTCAATATTCACAGAGAATGCAGTTGGCTTCTGGCATTGAATACACGGAAGTTTAAATCAATTACTACTAAACTTCTTGTTTATAAACCCGAGCATTCTAATGTTCTCATTTTTTATCGACATACAGACAAAACGAAGACAATTAACTGCCGTAAGTGCTGAATACAAATTCCAGTTTTCAATGCAAATGTGAACAATAAGTAATCCCGCTTTTTGTTGAATTCACAGTAAGATAGTCAAATTTCACGAAGAGGAAAGCAGCCAATCAGAGGCTGTTCCGGGATGCAAAAGTGTGGGTGACTTCGGTGGCAGTAGTGGAAATCGAGATGATACTGACTTACTAGGTTTTATCGTCGCCAACAGAATAATGAACAGTTTTTATTTACTTTGCTCTAAGCAACTGTTTGAGCTGTTCAGCTGTGGTGTTTTCCTTCGTTATTTCCCACAATCGTTTGTCAATCGGCTTAGTGATTGTTAACCATTTTGAATTGCACCGCTCCCTATTTTGTTTCGACTTGTATTATGAAACAAGATTTGTTCAAACGTGACGTCTTGTTTAATGCAATGCTAGTTAGTATCATTCCGCTTCTTATTCTCTCAAATTAGTTATTGAATAAATACTTTGCCCGAAATCAGTCAACCGTGACGGACTTATTCTGACACTGTGCTCGCGTCGTAGTAAGCTATCGAGCCCTTTCTCCGTGCACGTTTCGTATATCAGCAATGCTTCAGTGGTTCGTGGCCTGAGTACAGCCTTCAACATTCTGCTTAGAATACATGTACTTATTGTGCATTCACGTGTAACCTCTGCTTGACTTCCTCTGAAGTGTGTGCCAGACCCAAACTTAACCCAATTGATGCTCATCGTAATCTGCATTGTATTGTTTCAAATGTTCTCTTGACCGGAACTTCATTCTGAACTCAAATATCTTTCTATCATCAGACCCATTTTCGACTGCAATTTGTTCTCAGTTGGATTTAAGATTCGATCACACTTCCCTGGGCATGCTCTGTTATAATGTTTCCTGTTGATCGCACATACTTCTGCCAGTGAATATGCCTTTGCTGAGAGCTGTAAATAGAGATAAATGGCTTCCTGTTTTCGGATTACCTTGAACATTGATGTTGTTCTTAGGATCTATTTAAAATTCGACAGCGCAGTCGGATTTTGTAACTGACCAAGAGATACATAAACTTGCTTGAGTTTATCTTCAGGATGCACATACAACCACGGTTTCGCGCATCTTCTTGTGTGTTTCTATGCGATTTACTCCATCCGCAAGTCAGTTCTACTCATTAAAAGCGAGATGTGTGCTCTTTAAGATTCCGTTCTACTATCATTAGTTTTCCAAAGTTTTAGATGATCACAGTTACAGTCCATCACCTTTCATCCAAAGAGAAACGCTATCTCATCTAAATGCCAGTACGGTCGTTTATATCTGATTACCTTTGCTCTGAGTTATTTGTTCAGGAAACATGTGAATGCATAAGCAGTTGCCTATTTCTTTCCACTCGTCATCAGTCATTTAACGAGTAAAGGTTCTGCGCAATACATCAGTTTCCTTTGTGTTCTTGCCCTATCATTTTCTACCATTGATATGATTTTGTTAGTCCTTCTGTTGCGTTTCCGATTGACCTGCTGCGAATGCACGGTTATCCTCTCAGTTTTGTTATCGTAAGATTGTAGTGCATCGCTTTTTATTGATTGTTGTTTATCGGCTAAATAAGTGTTAAACACCGTACAGCATAGTATTCATTTTAACCCTAATAGTGATGGGGAAAGTAAACCGTGATTGTCTGTTTTGGGTGTACACGTCTGACTGATGTTGTCCTCCACCTGCTTTCAAAACAGATTCTCACATGGTTTCTTTTGCTAAGTAACTGAAGGTCAGTGATAGCATTTCGTTCGTCCTTGTGTTACTTTCAGGTCATGCCGAGACCCGCCATTCCACCTTCAATTGTGACAAAGCGCAAACAACTGGTACCCACTCATGGAGCGATACCTAATCGGGCTCGTTTTTCCCCACCTCCATCTACGGCGAGTGCACAAAATCCAACAATTCACCACTATCCTCAGCACCATCTACCCGGTCAGCGAACTTCTGCTGCGGCTAATCGCATCGGTGCTCCCTCTCGTCTGTCGCGTCCCGGAACTCATCGATTAGGGGAGGATTCCGGAGCGAGCAGTGCGTCCTCTGAACCACATACCAATGTTGATATCAAAAGCAACCAGTTGCGCAATTCCAGCTCGGGGGCCAGTTCCACCAACGGTTCTAATCCATCTACACGTGGTCGTCTCAAAACCGCCCTTTCCACATTTCGCCGCACAACGCCAACACAAAACAACTCAACTCCCTCAAAACCCACAACGAACAACACAGGAAATAACAACAACCGTCCCGGTCACGCTCCGATGATCGATTCCCAATCAGCCAAGCCGAACGGGTCAGATGCATCATCGTCAAATACCGCGGCCTCATCTGCCTCAAAAACTGCGTCCAAGCTAAAACAACCCTCCACAATTGTCGGGCGCCGCTAATCCGCTTCGAGGGTCGCTAAACCTTCAATGTTCAAGTCACCCCATTCCCTTCCATCTGGCCAGGCGCTTTGGACATATTGATCCTGCTTCTTCCTTCACCCCATGACCACCCATTCATGTGCCATTCATGTTGTTTGCATTTAACTTTGTCAGTTGATCAGTCTTTTATCCCTGACTCATCCTACGTTGTCCTTTTGGGCCTGACGCGCATTCACAGGTTATAAATTTTCATATTGTTTTACTCAAACTGATAACCGTGCGCTTCTCAAACTCAGTTCACCGAGTTTTTAATTCCAGTGAACTGTTTTCCATTTGTTTCTCATGCCCTCCCTCTCTCTCGTCCCATACAATTAATCTACTTTGGCTCCTATCCTCCTTTTGTCGGTTCGCTCTCTTTCGTGCTGAACACAAGACAAACAACAGATCGCTTTTTAGTGTCAACTTTGGCTTGTTTACGCTGTGCAATTGAAATCTAGACGCCAACGCGATCCCACTGGAGGTATACGAAGGCGGAGTTGGATATCTGCACATCCGGTCTCGAAAAGAGAGAATACTTTGAACTCACTATAAATAGATATGCACATATATATATCATGCCCATGCTCATCCACTCACTATCGGCAATCTGATTCTGACGTTCCAGGTCCTCTCTGGGTTTTGGTTACTTTAACACGAACTTGTTTTTCCTCGTCTTTCACTCCAACGGTCAAACGTCTGATCACGTATACTTCATCTTCCATTCATCTCGCTTTCTGTGTGTTCACTGAAGCACACCACTCACTCATTTACCTACGCAGCTTTTTTGCCCTGTCATCTCCCGCGTGTATTACCATCTGTCTCTTCCCTCTGTATTTAAGGAAGGGATCTTTGCCTGTGTCTAAAGAATTTAGCAATTTCACTACTTTTTAATTTTATTTTGTTTCTTTACAACTTCTTCGCGTTTCGTTCTGTCCGATCATACACACAGGCTTTTTCCGTCAGTGTCCTGCGTTGTTCGGTGTGCGTGTTGATGATGAGTTTGTTCTGTTTTGCTCATTTGTTGCCTCCCATCTGTGCGCAAACTCCACCAAGCGGTCTCATTGTGCGTATGCAATATATATATCATCCCTAATTGACGTTTTCTCTACGAGTTTGCTGACCGATGATACTTTGCTTTTCTGTCAATTTGTGTATGCGCCTGCTTGATTTTATTGAGAACATTCTATCGTGATGTCTCACTGTCCGTGTTGTTGCCTCAGTTCACACTCAATTGCCTTTCGTTGTCTGGTTTCATCTCTCTCTCTCTCTATTTTTATTTTCTTGCTCTCATCATGCTTTATAGTTGTGATCAGTTTACTCTGGTCTTTTGTTTTCTTTATCCGTGCTTTTTCTCCTTTTATGTTCAGTTGCCGTTGCTTTCAGTCTGTTTCTTGTGTTCTACGTAGTATTCCAGCCCCATATCTTTCAAACCCAACGATCTACAGAACGCATTTCCCCACGCACGTTTTTCTCACACCGTTCGTGACCCCGGCGCCTTTCGCGAATGGTTCGTCTCAAACCCCGTGTCCGACTGACTGAATTTCGTCTCGCGTTGTTTATCATTTTGTGCTGATTATTCAAAGTTGCTCCGTGTACACACACCACAAGTCCCACCTTCAACGGCCACTATACAATCTTGACATTTGGTATTGTCCTCAGCCCTAAGTACCATCCACGAACGATATCTTTTTTGTATCCTTCGCGAACAAACAGCCACTCAGTTGCTTGCAGAAATTTTATACATCGGTTCCACCAGTTGAATTTTCCATATCCACTCATCGTCCCCTTGTCGGCTGATCATGTGTTGGTTCTGAAATCTGTTGACTGATCAGTCGATTGTTATTTGTCCTTATCGGCCATTACCCCTCCCCATTTAACCCTCCAAATACACGCTCTATCTGTTTCGCATATTCATCTTCTCCTCATTGGACGCGCTTTTTCGTGCATTCGTTCGCTCATTCACTTCACACTGTTCATTCGTCCACACACAACTCTACTCTGCAATACAACTTCCATCCGGTATCTGTGGTTTGAGATGATCGTATCGTAATCTCTGTGCCAGCGCTGATAGCGTCATCCCACTTCTCTAATACAGACACCACCATGGATACTTATGACTATGATGATGATGATGATGATGGTAATAAAATTAATAATAATAATATTGATAATAACATCATGTCTTCATCTTGTAGACGCCAGACTTATGCGTTCTTCTATCATACAGGGCCATGCTTTGGCCACGCTTGCTCCCGTAGTTCCAGTCTGTCTGCGTCCTGTTTGTCTGCTTGTTTCCGTGTTGCCGCTTGTCACAGACTGATGGCTTTGAGTGCACCTACCGGATTGAATTTCCCAATCCTACTGTCCTTGCGTTCTCTCCGTGTTTCACCGATTGCCCCAGTACCCTCGCGCACAATTTAGTTGTAGTCCTCGTTGTAGCTGCTTTCGCGTGTTTTGCCTCAGTTCATTGACTTTCGTGTTGACCACAGGAAGTTGTCAGAAGTTATCCATTCAACCTATTTTTGGAAACCGCTTTAATAGGTTACGCCACATTTAAGTTTCACTTTTCTCAGTTTGAAACGTTCAGAAATACAGAGAATGAACGAGTCAAGTAACCGCTCAACAAAACCTTGAGGTTCTCTTACAAGGTCGAAAGAAATCGGTGATTGTTAATGTTGTCCACGTTTCACGTACAGTACCTTCTCACCATTGAAGTCTATTTACGCGGCTTCATGAGATGCACGCATCACTTAGAAGCTCAACTCCATCGCCCTGGTGCTGTAAGAATGGCACTTGGATATACATGCTCTATTGTCCTGTTTTTGAAAAAAAACTTATTGTTACTGGAGTTGACACTACCATATTCTAGAGCTTCGTGAATTTCATCATTGTACCCTCTCCTGGAAGTTTTGCGCTTGAGAGTAAAACCGTTTTCATAAAATGTAGTGATCCTGATTTTCCGCAGCACCTTGAAGGATGGTTGTGAGCAAGAGACTTGTGAAAAGAATAAACAACTCCATCATAGTGAAGGCGAGAGCAGACTACATTAGAGCTAGAAAAAAGATGAAGAGTTTGTGCGTTCGGGTCAAAGATCAATCCATGGTTAGTGGTGACGGAAAGCGAAATCTCATTTTACAAGATCTACTATCTTGAATCCCCTGTAACCTGTTGAGTAGTAACGGACATTTCTGCTGAAATTCTGCAGCGCATAATTGATAAAGATAGTTCTCATGACAGACACAGTTGATGGAATTCGTACCGAGAAAAAAAGAACCTCTACTATCATCCCAAGCTCTCTTTCGAACATATCAGACTGTTGAAAAGAAAACTTCCGTAATTGCATATTTCAATGAAGTGTTTAGGTTGGTTATGAACCGTTTTTTGTCCCTTTTTTTACTGTGATAAGCAATAAAAGTGATGATGATGATTACGTGGACCTACTGCCCCAACTTGTGCACCGATACTGCGAACGGCAAATTACAGCGTGTCCTAAGATAAGTGTGACATCGAGCCGAATAACAGCAAGCCTGTCTACCACAGAATTGAAGTGGTGGTGACTGGGGTTCGAACCTTTCCCCCCAAAACACACCGACTACCTTATTAGGTTTATGACTGTGAGGTTATCCGATCTGATCTTTAATATTGCACGAATTAATGTGAGTCATTTTTAACGGGCGTGTCATGGCTCCCATTGATCCGGTTGGTTTCTTCTCAGTCAAATATTGTCCGTAACGGTCATTCAATTCGTAACTCTCCCCTCCGGGGCTGTTCAGTTCAGTGATCAACGGTCACTTTCTTATCCACGGCTTAATGCTATTCTTTTTTCTCTTCAGTGTACTTACAGACAAATAGCTCCATCGGCTTTGTGAATTACACGCGATGTGACGTGTTAAACAACCATTTAGACAGCCGAATAATCAAATCATTACGCCGTCGCTGTGGTCACCTACTCTCATAATTTAATTTTATTCCCGTACGTATGGCATACATCAATCAAAACTAATAAATCGATGCAGCCAGTATATTACGTTTGCTTTTTCCTTACCTTGAGGCAAGTCGCATTCGGCTATTTAGTTTGAGCCTACCAAACGCTTCTAAATTTTGGCATGTAACAAAGCGAAATGGTCGTGTCGCACAAACTGACATCCGTACACCTCACTTGCTTCATTTATCGATTTCTGTCATATCCCTGACATGATCATGGCCTAGTTTCATTCTCCAGAAATGTTCGTTCATTTCTGTTTCCTCAGTGAATTACCACAAACACTATCGGTAACTTGTGGGAATAAACGGTAGTTGAATTTAAACGGGAATCTGCAGCCAGCCATGTACACAAATTCGAATGTTTGTTCAGACTTGACATTGTATTGTTTTGGAGTCAGTGAGCCCTTGATACTGTTCCACCGCTTTGTAGTTCATTCACATGCATAATGTGAACTTATACAAGACGTAACCGTTTCGATGAATCTACCTGATTTTTATGGTATTCTCAAGTGGGTGGATGTGGATTAGTGAGCAGGTTCAACCCCCTGTATTGTTTTGAAGAAAAACTATCAATGACTAAGCGTTTTCGTTTTCCGGTATATGCAAATGGGGATTGGTACATTTTGTCATGGGGATGTTGTATGGTGGAAGCTCGGGCAACAAATTGTTTGTTTATTATACAATATGTACTCGGTTCGTTTGCGACATCTGATGTTGACAATTCGTCCCCAGTCAGTCGGGCTTTAGGGGTAAGGGAAGGGGGAGCGGTGACCTACAACTTGATCATTTATATTCGACGAACATATATTACCCGGGTGCAACAAATTGATTCTCATGGAAATCCCAGTTAAGTATGACCATTGCTCTGAAGTTATCAACGCGATTGGTGATCAAACCAGTTGTTTCCTTCAAAAAACTTGTCTAAACTGAAACGTTTCTGTATCGTTATCTGGAACCACTGTCCGCATTTAAATAGTTTTATGTCGACACTCCGTCCG